GGGGGAGGGGAGGAGGAGGAGGCGGGGAGCAGGGGATCCCATTCGTCTGGAGCCCGGCTATTTTCCCCAACCCAGGTTAAGAAGAAATCCCGCTCTGATTGGAGCCGAATGGCCACGTAAAGAAAACCAGACGGATCTCTCCCCCCGAAAGCCCCAGTGCCTTTCATCTCGGAAAGCAGGAGGGGCCTGGCAGAGTCTAGGGGAGAGGTGAGGGGCCCGGCCTGGGTCCCCTCCCCGGCCTCCCCACCCCCACCCGCCCCCCAGCACTGGGACGCTCGACGGCAGAGAGCTTTGCCCGACGCCTAGAGGGCAGCACCCGGGGTTTTCTCTTCCATTGGAGCCCCCCCACCCACACACACACATACACACACTCCCGAGTCCCCGCTTCCCCACCTCCTCGGCGGCCCGCTCGCCCCGCCCCCATCCTCCCAGACGCTACCCTCCACGCCGGGCCTCCCGCCCCGCCTCCGCCTCCGCGGGGTTTCACCCGCGGCGAGGGGTGGAGGGGAACAGTGGAGAGGAGGGGTGGTGGAAATCTGCATAGTTTCCGCCCCCTCGGTGATCATTGGTGCAGCCCCTTCCCGTCGCGGTCGGTGATTGGCCGGCCGGCCTGAGTTATTTGCATGCGGGCCGCGGCGGGGTACCCAGCTGTGGGGACGGCGGCCGGCCTTAGTGCAGAAGTTTGCCGAGTGCTTTTCACGCCGGCTGGTGCGGGACTCGCCCTGCGCCCCAGCGCTCCGCGCCGCCTCCTCCGGCTACCGCCGCCTCGTTCTCCCGGGGATCCCTTGTCTTTGGAAGACGGACGCTCGGCGGGCGGGAAGTGGAGGTGGACCAGGACGAGTGCCCGGGAGGCGCGGCGGGGAACCATTCCACTGACAGCTCCGCGTCGGGCACCCCGCGGGGTGCGTGGCGCTCCGGCTCGCGGCGAACCTCGCCGGCCTTCTCGCCGCCGCCGCCGGGCGGGCCGGCGATGCAGCCTCCGAGTCCCGGGACTCCGGGGAGAGCCTAGAGCTCGCCCTCTGCCCGGTCGGGGCGAGGAGGAGGAGGCCATGGAGTGGTGAGCGCCCCCGACCCCGGATCGGCGAGGCCGCCCGCGGCAGGCTCCCATGGCCGGGACGTACAGCTCCACTTTGAAAACGCTGGAGGACTTGACCTTGGACTCCGGGTATGGGGCGGGGGACTCGTGCCGCTCGCTCAGCCTGTCGTCCTCCAAGTCCAACTCGCAGGCGCTCAACTCTTCGGCGCAGCAGCACCGCGGGGCGGCCTGGTGGTGCTACTCGGGCTCCATGAACAGTCGCCACAACAGCTGGGACACGGTGAACACGGTGCTGCCCGAGGATCCCGAAGTGGCCGACCTCTTCTCGCGCTGCCCGCGGCTCCCCGAGCTGGAGGAGTTCCCCTGGACCGAGGGAGACGTGGCCCGGGTACTCCGCAAAGGCGCCGGCGGGGGCCGGCGGATGCCCGCCTTCTCCTCCGAGGCGGTGCGGCGCCTGGCGGGGCTGCTGCGCCGGGCGCTCATCCGCGTGGCCCGCGAGGCGCAGCGCCTGAGCGTGCTGCACGCCAAGTGCACCCGCTTCGAGGTGCAGAGCGCCGTGCGCCTGGTGCACAGCTGGGCGCTGGCCGAGAGCTGCGCGCTGGCCGCCGTCAAGGCGCTGTCGTTGTACAGCATGAGCGCGGGCGACGGGCTGCGGCGGGGCAAGTCGGCCCGCTGCGGCCTCACCTTCTCCGTGGGCCGTTTCTTCCGCTGGATGGTGGACACTCGCATCTCCGTGCGCATCCACGAGTACGCAGCCATCTCGCTCACCGCCTGCATGGAGAACCTGGTGGAGGAGATCCGGGCCAGGGTGTTGGCCAGCCAGAGCCCCGACGGTGGCGGCGGTGGAGGGGCGGGAGGTGGAGAGGTATCAGCGGAAGCCTTGGAGATGGTCATCAACAACGATGCGGAGCTGTGGGGCGTCCTGCAGCCCTACGAGCACCTCATCTGCGGCAAGAACGCCAACGGTAAGTGCGCCGTGGGGCCTTGATCCACGGGTGGGATGTGAGTTACTCTGGGAGCCAATTTCCTGGGACCAAGCTGCGTGGTGTTCTGGAACACTGGGAGACAAATGTTGGGTCTGAGGATGAAGGAGTTCATTAAATGGCTTTGGTCAGAAAGTATTTGGAGTGGCTGATATTTGAAGGATAAAATCGCGCTTCTCCATCCAGTTCGGCGTGGCGTTGTCACTTTCTAGGTCTTCATTTATTGGGCCTTTGGCTCGAGTCATTCCTGAACCCCTCACCAAGTGAAGTTTACCATCCTGTTCTAGTTTACGCGATTTGCTTTGGCCACCGGTTGCTGGTTTTCCCAAACAGTCGGGAGAGCAGTTGGTTTTCCCAGTGGCTCAGCCGAAGGATCCATCTGAACTCCACTACCTAAGCCGTGGATAAGTGGGATGGGCAGGGGGAGAGCGTCAAGCCCAGCGCCTGGTGCTTTGCCATGGCCTTTATGGGGCTGAAGGATGCAGGTAGCCACGCCCCTCAGCGGAGGCATCCAGATAGATGCTTAGTGGTGGGTTCTTATTACTGTGTGCCCAGAGGTAATGAAACCTGGAGGATCCTCTATCCTCTTCTCAGGTAGGGAGCCATGTGTCTTGCGTGTGTGCTCCAGACACTAAATTTCCCAAGCTGTCCTTTATCTGGTGAGCGGTTGATTAAAAACTTTGTGAACAACTGAAACGCACAACATGTTGAGCTTTCTAGGAGGGAGAGTGCAGTAAACCATGCAGTACACCACATGCAGATGAGCTGGGGGAGGGGAGGAATGGACAATAGTGTGGTTTCAAGTCTGGGGAAGGAACTGTTGAGTAGTTGGCCTTCTCCAAAGGATGGCATGTCTTCCTGGCCAAGGATGAAGGCAAAGTAACTTCATCCTGGTTAAGCCTAGGTGTGACACATTCAACAGCATGCTGTCTATCAAGCTTCAATTCAGGAGCTGGCCACCATAAATCATGTGGAAAGGACTGTCGTTAGACATCCTTGCTATCTAATTGGAAAACCCATTTTGGGTACAGCTTTCAGTGGCAAATAAGCAGGCAGTGGAAGAGGCCAGCCAGGTGGGTCCTGGAATGGCATAAAGGGAACCACATTCAAATGTGCTTAAACATAATCACAATCGCCAAGACGTAAAACAGCCCTTAATGTGTTAGTCACTCTTCTTAGCACTTGATATATTAGCTACTTTTATATGTTAACAACCTCTTTGGTAGTGTGCTATTGTGAAATATGTATCTGGTCTCAGTCCATGCTTCCTGGCATGTGAGTCCTAAAATCTTCCAAAGTGCTAGTGTTTTTCATATACCAATAGGTGGACTAAGAGCTGGCCACCACTAGGTAAATGAGGACTTCAGGATGAGCAAAGTCTCCAGAAAGACAGGGCAGGCAGGACTTCAGAGGGTTGGTACTTTTAACTCCACACCCCAAAACTCCAGGGAAGGGAAACGAGGCAGAAGGTTAAGTTGTTTACAAATAGCCAAGAATTTAATCAGTCATGCATGTATAATGAGGTCTCCATAAAAACCCAAAGGTTAGAGCTTCATAGGTTCCTGGAGGGTGGCATTCCTTCTTCCTTACCTTAGCCCATGCATCTCTTCATCTGGATTCTTTGTCATATCCTTTATTATAAGTTAGTAGCTGGGAAGTGTTTCCCTGAGTTCTGATTTAGAGCCAGTCATGTCTGGGGCACAGGTAAAACAACCTGAAGTTTTCAATTGACATCTAAAGGGAGCAGTCTTGAGGGTGGATCCCTGGACCTGTGCAGTGTGATGCTATGGCCGGGCATATAGTGTCAGCTTGATTTGAGCTAGAGGACACTGTAGGGTGTCTACTGCAGAACTGCTTGTTCACTAGTGGGGAGAAAGTCCTACACCTTCCAAGATCACAGAAAGAAGTCTTCTGTGTTGATTGCCTAGTGAAGACAAGAGTATACGTGTTACACCATTATACAGATGAGGGAATAAGATCCTGGAACACTTAGACAATCCGCTCAACATCTTACACAGACACTAAGTGATGAACCTGGAATTGGAACTGTGGTGGGGGGTCCCCCTGTGGAGGGGACCCAGTTTAGTCCAAGGAGAGCAATTGACATGCAAGGCCGAATAAAGAATGAAGATATTCTTTATTACCTACCCGACTTTCCTGTGACATGCCTTGCTTTAATCCTGGCCCTGCCATGTCCTGCAATGGAGAAGCATTTGCCTTTGAATTTTCTTCCTCTTAAGTCAGAATGGAGGTCAGTCCATAAGATCAACTGATGATGTCACAGCTGGTAATTATGCTTTGCCCTTTAAATTGGGGTTATCAAAGCCTGGAACACTAGCTCCAGAAGAGGAAGTGAAGGGCCAGGGGATTTCCATCTGGTTATCACAATGCCAGGGAAGAATGTTATACTTTTGGTGGAAAGAAGATCCCGGCACTGATCTGAAAGATGTAAAGGGGAAAAATAAAGTACTGAAGCTCTAACCCTACACAACCAAAGTACACTAAAGAAAGAACTATAGTGCAGGGTAGAAAAATCAAACACCAGTGTGCCTGTCAGCCCCATCCCCTGCTGGTGCCCTCCACACTGGACTGTTTTCTAACTGCAAATCAAAGCCAGGAAGAGCAGCTGCCTCTCCAGGGTAGCCTGAAAATGCAAAGTGGTTAGATTGCTAAACAAAACAAAACAAAACAAAAACAGGTGCTTTTCTGGGAAAACCATCCAGCCAAAGAGTATTTCTTATTGAGGGCAGCATCCCTTGGGTTTTTTCTTTATAGGCTATTTTTTAAAATTGAATCTTTTTGGTCTTGGTACTTGGGTTTGAACTCAGGGCAAGAGCACTCTCCCTTAGCTTTATCCACTCAAGGCTGGTGCTCTACCAGTTAAACCATACCTCTGCTTCTGGCTTTTTTGCTGGTCAATGGAAGATAAGAGTCTCATGGACTTTTCTGTCTAGGCTGGCTTTGAACTGGGATCCTCAGATCTCAGCCTGCTGAGTGGCTAGGATTACTGGCATGAGCCACTGATGCCCAGTTTGACCTCATGCTTTGACCTCTCCTCAAGTCAACATGGTGGGTCAAGGCTGCAGGATTCCCCACGTGGTAGACAGCAGCACTCCCCAGATGCTCAGAGCCAAAATGCCTTCCTCTGAGCATTGTCTGGCCTCCAAGGAACTCTGTTACAGGCATGGTGGACACTCATTTCTCATACATGGAAACTCGAGGTGGCTCTACCTATTGTCCTTTTAGACAAAGTGAAATGAATGTTTAATAAGAAAAGCAGTGAATTGCATATGCCTGAAAGCTGGCTTCAGAGGGAAGTATCAACTGCTTAGGGAACGAATGGAGACTCACAGAACTTTTTTTTTTTTTTAATATTGAAATTGCCCCACTGCCGGTAGGGAGACAGTTTACACCGCTGAAGAACAACTGGGAAATGGCTACGTATGGGAAAGAGAGTGCTGCTTAGTATTCTTGTCCTGCTGGTCTTCCCCTTAAATTATATATTTATTGTTGTTATGCCTGCTAATTATACAGCATGGTCACATGCATTTGACTCAGCTATATGGGGCTCTTAAACTTTTAACGTCTTCCAGCCGGGACTTTAAGAGACCTGATCCATCTATTCCTGTCCATTACGCAGAATGCCACACAAATATGGTTTTGCTCAGCCCAAGATGGATGATAAAAGTTCTGTAGTGTTTATAAAACACGATCCCAGCTTCACAGAGCAGCAGGAGTTATATAATATTGTTGCCCATTTGGTACTGATGTTTCAGATCCCAGGCGATGCCATTAAATCATGACATATTCATGGCTTCCTTGTGGGAGGCAGAGAAACCACTTTAATGGAGTATTTATAAACAGGGAGCTGGCAGCAAAGGGAAACCTCTCCTTTTACCCCCCCCATCCTTCTCTCTCATTCTCAAGGAACTCTGTATGTAGATTTGACAAAGAGCATCACTTCCAGGTTTCTTCCTGGCCATTTTTCGTGAGAGTCCATGGAATTTGAGCAAATCCTCTTCTCTTCCTAGAGTGTCAGTTAAATGATAGGCTACTGGTGATAATGTTCTCACTCCAGAACAGTGCACAGAGAGCACAGGAGGGTGGCTCTGTTGTAGGGGCAAGGATAAGGGTTTGAAGCTTACCTCTACTGCTTATATGGATGGATTGGATAGCTGGGTACTGGTGGCTCACTCCTGTATACCTAGCTACTCAGGAGACTGAGATCTGAGGATTATGGGCAGAAAAGTCTGGTAGACAGATCCTCCACACTCTTTCTTATCCCCAATTAATCAAAGAGCTAGAAGCAGCGCTGTGGCTCTAGTAGTAGAGCACTATCCCTGAGTGAAAAAGCTAAGGGACAGAGCCATGAGTTTAACCCCCAGTACCAACACACACACACACACACACATACACACACACACAAAAGCATGCATTCACATCCTGGGGCTTGAAGTCAGGGCCTAGGCACTGTCTCTTAGCTTTTTAACTCGACCACTTGTGCCACAGCTCCACTTTCAGCTTTTTACTACCTAATTGGAAATAAGAGTCTCACAGCGTTCCTACCCAGGTCGGTTTCAAACCTCAATCCTCAGATCTCAGCCTCCTGAGTAGCTAGGATAATAGGTATAAACCATTGGTACCCAACTAGAGTTTTCTTTTTTATCATGGGGTTATCTTGTACTTAGTGGGGATGCATTAATTATATCCCCCCCACACACATACCAGTTGTGAAAATCAAAAAATGTCTGCAGACATTTACAGATATCTCCGGCGCAGCTTGAGAAACACTGATCGCTAAGATAAGACTCATGGGGTGCTTGGGAGGATTTACTTAGCATTTTTGGTAGGAACTTTGTTGTATTATGTTTCTCATAAAATATTCTCATTACCATCGTTTTTTTTTACAGATTTGTGTTGAGTGCATAGATTTGGTTCACTTTTGCTAAAATAGGAGCTTTTTGTGCAAGATAGGAGCCTGA